AAATGCTACAAATGAAACACCTGCGATTGCAGATGTCACATCATGATGAACAGATGTTCTGCTGCTGAATCACCCGGGTCCCCGATGCTTCGACCCCATGGGAGTTGCCGCTCTCATTTCTCTCTCTTTCGCGATCGTACCTCGCCGCGGGAGGCAGCGGTGTAAATCAAACTCGGGGTTTGCTGCGGATTAGAATTGGACCGACACAGCGCAGCAGTGGACGGGGGCTGAGACGGGGAGGTGGATACATTGGCTGGGGGTGAGTGCACCTGTGATGATTCTTGTCAGCCCTAACAAAAAAAAGAGTCATTCTGCTCCAGGTATTACATTTGATACCCCCCCCCCCCTCCAAAAACAATTATCATCTGACCCGGGTGTCTACTGAATGCAAATGATCTGGTGATGCCGTTGCTGCTGCTATGGCAGAAGTGAAAAAAGCACAAATCGCAGGACAGACACAGCACGTTCGTCAATAACACTGCCATTCATGTCTCTTCTCGACAGAGCCCCATAGAGAGGACTGGCCCGTCTATGGGCCGTCAAGAAGGCCATCGTCCGAAACGTCACCCGTTGTATAATTGTCTTTTTAAGGCCGTGTTATTGACGAATTCGATTCGGGTTATTTTTGTAGTTATTGAAACCAACGGTGGTGTAGGTGGCTGTGTGGATGGTTACGTGGGTGGATGGGTAGGTGGGTGGGTAGGTAGGTAGCTTGGTGGGTGGGTAGGTAGGTAGGGTGGGTAGGTAGGTGGGTGGGTAGGTAGGTGGGTGGATAGCTAGGTGGGTGGATAGGTAGATGGTTGTGTGGGCGGTTCGTAGGTTGGGTGAGTGGCTGTGTGGGTGATTGGCAGGGTGCTTTTGGGAGGTTGCTGGGTAGTGACTTAGTAGGTATGTAGTTAGGTAAGGTTCGTTGGATTGGTAAGTCGTTATCTATAAATGTCGGTGGATATTAGGGAGACCTGGGGTAAGAATGAACCCCAGAGAATACCATGTTGCCCTACTGAGAGCAACCTTAACTCGGGAACCCGACACAAACGCAAACACGCACGTGTCCACGTGAGAAAATCTCGTGATAACATACACAGTGTACAGTTTCAGTATGCCTTCGAGTGCTGTTTGCGAGCACCCATTAAGGTCAATTGCTAGCGGGCGAGGAGGCTTAGTGCTGCAAGTTGAGAGCAATGGTTGTCGGGGCGGTGTGTGTAACGACTAGTGTGTGTGTGGAGTTTGCAGCACGTGCAGTGAGTGTGTGGTGGGTGCAAGTGTTTGTGTAATTCGTGCAGCAGCGTTCGTAGCAGTCTGTGCAGCAGTGTTTGTTAGCGTTGCCTGTGTCTGTGTGTGCGCATCGTGTGTGCAGCAGTGAGTGTATAGCAGTGGATGCTCGAATGTGCATCAGTGGATGCATCGGTGAGCGTTGTAGTACAACTTAGCGCGCTGCGCTACGAACCCGGCGACCCGAGATCGATTCCCGCTCGCGGTCAACACCGGTGACGATTACCTGAATCGGTTCTGGGCCTCCCCTAGGTCGACTCGGCTTCAAATGAGTACCCGGTGTGTAAACATCGCCACTGGGGAGACAAAGGCGGCCGGGCGTGGTGCTGACCACCCACCCCCTCGTGTACCGTGCCGTCCTTCATAGGTGCTCGCTAACAGCGCTTGCCCCCAGCAGCCCTGATGAGTGATGAGGCTACATGGGGGATCTGTTGCTGCTGTTGCCTTTGCACGATCGTGCAAAGGCAGCAGCAGCAGTGTGTGTGTGTGCTCCAGCAGCAGCAGCAGTGTGTGTGTGCTCCAGCAGCAGCAGTGTGTCTGTGTGCTCCAGCAGCAGTGTGTGTGTGTGTGTGCTCCAGCAGCAGCAGCAGTGTGTGTGTGTGCTCCAGCAGCAGTAGCAGCAGTGTGTGTGTGCTCCAGCAGCAGCAGTGTGTGTGTGTGCTCCAGCAGCAGTGTGTGTGTGTGTGCTCCAGCAGCAGTGTGTGTGTGTGTGCTCCAGCAGCAGTAGCAGCAGTGTGTGTGTGTTCCAGCAGCAGCAGTGTGTCTGTGTGCTCCAGCAGCAGCAGTGTGTGTGTGTGTGCTCCAGCAGCAGCAGTGTGTGTGTGTGCTCCAGCAGCAGTAGCAGCAGTAGTGTGTGTGTGTGCTCCAGCAGCAGCAGCAGTGTGTGTGTGCTCCAGCAGTAGCGTGTGTGTGTGCTCCAGCAGTAGTGTGTGTGTGTGCTCCAGCAGTAGCAGCAGTGTGTGTGTGCTCCAGCAGTAGCGTGTGTGTGTGTGCTCCAGCAGTAGCAGCAGTGTGTGTGTGTGCTCCAGCAGCAGCAGTGTGTGTGTGTGCTCCAGCAGCAGCAGCAGCAGTGTGTGTGTGTGCTCCAGCAGCAGTGTGTGTGTGTGCTCCAGCAGCAGCAGCAGTGTGTGTGTGCTCCAGCAGCAGCAGCAGTGTGTGTGTGTGCTCCAGCAGCAGTGTGTGTGTGTGCTCCAGCAGCAGCAGTGTGTGTGTGTGCTCCAGCAGCAGTGTGTGTGTGCTCCAGCAGCAGCAGTGTGTGTGTGTGCTCCAGCAGCAGCAGTGTGTGCTCCAGCAGCAGCAGTGTGTGTGTGTGTGCTCCAGCAGCAGCAGTGTGTGTGTGTGCTCCAGCAGCAGCAGTGTGTGTGTGTGCTCCAGTAGCAGCAGCAGCAGCAGTGTGTGTGTGCTCCAGCAGCAGCAGTGTGTGTGTGCTCCAGCAGCAGTGTGTGTGTGTGCTCCAGCAGCAGCAGTGTGTGTGTGTGCTCCAGCAGCAGCAGTGTGTGTGTGTGTGCTCCAGCAGCTGCAGTGTGTGTGTGTGCTCCAGCAGCAGCAGTGTGTGTGTGTGTGCTCCAGCAGCAGCAGTGTGTGTGTGTGTGCTCCAGCAGCTGCAGTGTGTGTGTGCTCCAGCAGCAGCAGTGTGTGTGTGTGTGCTCCAGCAGCAGCAGCGTGTGTGTGTGCTCCAGCAGCAGCAGTGTGTGTGTGTGCTCCAGCAGCAGCAGCGTGTGTGTGTGCTCCAGCAGCAGCAGTGTGTGCTCCAGCAGCAGCAGTGTGTGTGTGCTCCAGCAGCAGCAGCAGTGTGTGTGTGCTCCAGCAGCAGCAGTGTGTGCTCCAGCAGCAGCAGTGTGTGTGTGTGCTCCAGTAGCAGCAGTGTGTGTGTGTGCTCCAGCAGCAGAAGTGTGTATGTGTGCTCCAGCAGCAGCAGTGTGTGTGTGTGCTCCAGCAGCAGCAGTGTGTGTGTGTGCTCCAGCAGCAGCAGCAGTGTGTGTGTGCTCCAGCAGCAGCAGTGTGTGTGTGTGCTCCAGCAGCAGTGTGTGTGTGTGCTCCAGCAGCAGCAGTGTGTGTGTGTGCTCCAGCAGCGTGTGTGTGTGTGTGCTCCAGCAGCAGCAGTGTGTGTGTGTGCTCCAGCAGCAGCAGCGTGTGTGTGTGCTCCAGCAGCAGCAGTGTGTGTGTGTGTGCTCCAGCAGCAGCAGCGTGTGTGTGTGTGTGCTCCAGTAGCAACAGTGTGTGTGTGTGTGCTCCAGCAGCAGCAGCAGTGTGTGTGTGTGCTCCAGCAGCAGCAGTGTGTGTGTGTGTGCTCCAGCAGTAGCAGCAGCGTGTGTGTGTGTGTGCTCCAGTAGCAACAGTGTGTGTGTGTGTGCTCCAGCAGCAGCAGCGTGTGTGTGTGTGCTCCAGCAGCAGTAGCAGCAGTGTGTGTGTGTGCAGCAGCAGCAGCGTGTATGTGTGTGTGCTCCAGCAGCAGCGTGTATGTGTGTGTGCTCCAGCAGCAGCGTGTGTGTGTGTGTGCTCCAGCAGCAGCAGCAGCGTGTGTGTGTGTGCTCCAACAGCAGCAGTGTGTGTGTGTGCTCCAGCAGCAGCGTGTGTGTGTGCTCCAGCAGCAGTAGCAGCAGCAGTGTGTGTGTGTGTGTGCTCCAGCAGCAGTGTGTGTGTGTGTTCCAGCAGCAATGTGTGTGTGTGTGTTCCAGCAGCAGCAGCAGTGTGTGTGTGTGTGTTTGTGCTCCAGCAGCAGTGTGTGTGTGTGCTCCAGCAGCAGCAGCGTGTGTGTGTGTGCTCCAGCAGCAGCAGCAGCAGCGTGTGTGTGTGTGTGCTCCAACAGCAGCAGTGTGTGTGTGTGTGCTCCAGCAGTAGCGTGTGTGTGTGTGCTCCAGCAGGGTCATGTAGCGGTTGTGCGGCAGCCGAAGCGAACGGGAGAGGTTTTAAGGCGGCTGGGCGATCACGCAGAGCGCGACTCGGCCACGCGTGAACCACCCACGGACATCGCGAGGCGCGTGCGTGCCAGCGTGCCATTATAATGACGGTGTTGTGATGGTTGGTGATGGTGATCGTGCGTGATGGGAGACGCTGACGATGGTGTTATGACGACAGTGGCGATGATGGTTGAGCGTGTCTGATCGTGACGTTGATGATGATGGTGATGATGATGACCCATGGTATGTGTTGGACTTCTTTCGCACCGTACGTAGCCAGCGGTGCTGATCGGTTGGCTACGTCATCACTACATGGTATGTGGCGATGACGATGTTACGTGTGATAGTGGTGGTGATGATGTTACGTGTGATAGTGGTGGTGATGATGATGATGTTACGTGTGATGATGTTACGTGTGATAGTGGTGGTGATGATGATGTTATGTGTGATGATGTAACGTGTGATAGTGGTGGTGGTGATGATGATGTTAAGTGGTGGTGACGGTGGTTAATGATGGCGGTGATGATGATGATGGTGATGGCACACTCGCGCACAAAATCCCACCCCATCCCCTAATTAATCGATGTTGTCTGCCTTGTCTTTACCCCCATGATCCCATCACCACCGCGACCACCACCATCACGACCACCACCACCGGTCCAAGTAACTCAATACAGATCGACACTCAACATCCTTCAAAACTCTTACTACCCACCACTCCCTCGAGCTACAGACCCCATTATGTTGATCGGCGAGTGTCTCCACGAAGCAAATCCTCTCGCCGTCGCCCCGTGTGACCCCCACAGCCGCGAGCCATCCCCAACTCACCTTCACCGCGTATTTGTGCCCCGTCGCCTTGCTGGTGCACTCCAACACCTTCCCGTTCACTCCGAGTCCCAGCACTTGCCCAGTGACCTGATAGTCATCGGTGAGCGCGTGTCTCTTGGTCTGCAGAGATGGTCTCGGTTGACACTGCAGCTGCTGCTGCTGTTGCTGCTGTTGCTGCTGCTGCTGTTGAGCGCCTATGCCCTGGACGTTTTGATTGACGTTGGTCCACATCGCTGATGGGACGAGACGAGGGCGCATAGAATCGCGCGCACGCGGCGCATATCCCGACCTAAGCCAAACAGTCTCTTTCGCTCTCGCTCGCTCCGTGTGTCTCTCTCCGTCTCTCTCTCTCTCTCCGTGTGTCTCTCTCCGTCTCTCTTCACTCCCTCGGCAAGTGACAAGTGCTGGGCTGATCCAGGATCCGGGCAGCCAGGGGCGGAGTGGGGCGGGTGGGGGAGGAAGAGAGGTGGGGTGGGGGTGCGCGCTTGACGCTGGACCGTGCCCGGGTTTCGATTCTCGACGTGGAGCAACTTCTCTTGAGCGTGAGTCGTGACGACACGCGCACAGCACAACAAAGACAGAGGTCCCCCGTATAGCCTGCACGGACTCTTGGGGCAAGTGCTGTTAGCGAGCACCTATGATGGCCGGAAAGGCGCACGAGGGGGTAGTGGACGGCCAGGACCACGCCCGGCCGCCTTTGTCTCCCCAGTGGCGATGTTTACACACCGCACCAGGTACTCATTTGAGGCTGAATCGACTTAGGGTAGGCCCGGAACCGGTTTTGATAATCGGCATCGGTGTTGGCCGCGATCTGGGATCGAACTCGGGTCGTCCAGGGTCCTGTAGTGCAGCGTGCTAACCGCTGCGCCACCGCTCTTTCCGTCGCACATACAAGCACACACACATGCACAGACACAGGCACGCACAGACACGAGCACGCACAGACACGCACAGACACACGCACACAAGCACACAGACACACACACAGACACACGCTCAAACATACGCACGCACACACAAGCACACACACACACGCACAGACACACGCACGCACAGGCACACGCACGCACAGACACGAGCACGCACAGACACGCACAGACACACGCACAGACACACGCACGCACACAAACACACGCACACACAAGCACGCACACGCATAGACACGAGCACACACAGACACACAGACACACGCACACACAAGCACAGACACGAGCACACACAAGCACAGACACACGCACACACACAGACACGAGCACGCACACAGACACGAGCACGCACACACACACACACACAAGCACACACACGCACAGACACACACGCACAGACACGAGCACGCACACACACGCACAGACACACGCACACACAGACACACAGACACACACACGCACAAACACACGCACACACACACACAAGCACACACACACACGCACAGACACACGCACACACAGACACACAGACACACACACGCACAAACACACGCACGCACACACACAAGCACACACACACACGCACAAACACACACAGACACACGCACGCACAGCCGGGAGTCGCCCAATAGCGTAAGAGCGGTGTAATCAGCTGATTGCTCAACCCCTCTCGAATACCCACCTCCCCACTCTCTCCGTCTCTCTCCCCTTCCCCCTCTCTCTCCCCACTCTCTCCCCACTCTCTCCCCTTCTCTCTCTCCCCACTCTCTCCGTCTCCCCCCCCTTTCTCCCCATCCACGTTCCAACGAATCTCTCCTCTCTCTCGCTCACCCCCCTCCACACATCACTCCCCCTACCCACCCACCCCTGCCGCTCCACGACACCAACCCAATTAACCCAACCACGAATCATCCACGCTTCTTCCGACACAAATACAAACCCACCCCCCATACCCCGTCTGTTGGGTGATCAGTTCAGGCTGAGTCGACCTAGGGGTGGGGGGGGAGCCCAAAACCGGTTGAGATAATCAGTCACCGGTGATGTTCGCCGTTGGCAGGAACCGAACTGCGACCGCTGGCTTGGCATCGCAGTGCGCTGACCATTGCGCCACCGCTCTCCAGATGAAAAAAAAGCCCCATTGCTGTATACATTACAAAGACATTCTCCCTAAACAGCTGTTGTACACGCGGTAGGGGCAGGTGCTGTTAGCGAGCACCTATTAAGGCCGGCCACGGCACACGAGGAGGTGGGTGACCAACGCCACGCCCGACCGCCTTTGTCTCTCCACTGCTGCCGTGCTTCCGCACCGCCCTGCGCGCACGAAGAAACGAACGTGCACTGCACATTGCATCGGCCTGCGCAAACAAAGAGTGCACACGCACACACACGGCAGTGCAGTCGCCCGCATACACAGCACCACATCGCTCTGCCGACAACAGTCAATCGGCAGTCAAGCGCCATCACCGCAGAGTGTCTGTCCTCGTCTGCGCATCTCTGAATCTGTTGGCTGTGCCCATCATCACTGGCTATGATCGTGGTGGTGCTGGTGGTGGTGATGATGGTGATGGTGGCTGGCTGCGTTCTCGCGGGCGTCCATGCCGTTACGTAAGCGGCGCGCGGCGTTCGCGTGAACTCATCGAGAATTCGCTGCGTGAGCTCCGAGTCGTGACTCGAACGCGCGCGGATTTCGCGATGGAATAACACAAAGAACGCTTCGCGCACCGGTACAAAAACATTGCACGTGGCCTTAAAGGGGGGGGGGGAAATACATTTTAACAGGCGACGTTTCGGGCAATTGCCCTTATGCATGTCGCACATACAGAGGCCGGTAGATTTGAGTGGTTTGTATTCATCTGTTTGCGTGTGGTGATCAGGAGCTGATTGTCAACGTGGAGGAGGTCGCGCTCGACACGACGAGAAGGCTTCAGGGGAGAGAGTTGGCGACGTTTGGAAATTGCTCCTCGTCCGTTGAAGGGACGCAGCCTGGAGTGACCGTTACTTTGCGGCCCGTTGCATGGGTTGCATGGGGGTTGCAAGGGTTGCATGAGTTGCATGGGTTGCATGGGTTGCATGAGTTGCATGGGTTGCATGAGTTGCATGGGTTGCATGAGTTGCATGGGTTGCATGGGTTGCATGAGTTGCATGGGTTGCATGAGTTGCATGGGTTGCATGGGTTGCATGAGTTGCATGGAGGTTGCATGGGGGTTGCATGAGTTACATGAGTTGCATGGGTTGCATGGGTGTTGCATGGTCACATGGAGTGGGATGAGAGTTGGGGACTTGCGCTTTACACCAAAGCGGTCCGGTGAGAATTGCATTTTTTAAAAAATGTTTCCAGATGAGCAAGTTTTTAAATCGGCGCATGCATAGTTACTCTCTAACAGTAGATACCGAGTGACAGGCGAGAAACCATATTCTTGGTTCTTTCGGTAAAGTCACGTAGAAAGGAAATAACAAAATAATAATATAAATATAAATCAATAAAAATTCTCACGACGTTTCGACTGCAACACAAGCAATCATCATCAGGTGTGAAATCCACAGAAAGAAATAGGAAAGAATATGAAAGAATGTGAATCCCTGCAGTCACGAAAGCTTTAAATCAAAATTTAGGCGAGAAACCCTTCACTCATCGCTGGCTCTGTGACGTGTGTGCTCGGGTTCAATTGCGGGCTGTTCGGCATCATGTCCGACGTTTCGCTACACGCCCTGGGAGTTGTTTCGGTTCGTCGTCGAGAAGCACGTGGAACGCAACATGGGGCAGATGTAATACGCGTGTCCGACGTTTCGCTCCGCGTCCGTGTCCACGTGTATGCACACATCAGGGAAGCTATACACCACCGCTGGGAAGGCCTTCGCGTGCAACGTGACTCTTGCCACTGCTGCTGCTGATGATGATGCTGCTGCTGCTGATGATGCTGCTGCTGCTGCTGGTAATACAATGGCAGCAGCAGGAGCAGACGGGCAGGTTATGAATTGTGACACGGGGGGACGCGCCTGCGATTTAAGATATGCGTGTGGTGCATACATATAGTGTACTGTATGTGTAGTGTATGTGTGTGTGTGTGTTTGTAATGTGTGCGTGTGCTGGGGGCTGTAGTGTAGTGGTAGCGCAGGGTGCTACCAGCAGCATCAGTGACGATTATCTGAACCGATCATGGGCTTCCCCTAGGTAGGCTCAGCCTCAAATGAGTACCTGGTGCGGTGTGTAAGCGTCGCCGCTGTTGCTCAACTGTAAACATCTGCACGCCCTCGTGTGCCGTGCCGGCCTTCAGAGGTGCTGCCCGTTAACAGCACTTGCCCCAAAAGTCTGTTCGGGCTATACGGGGGATCTGTGTCTTTCTCTGTGTGTAGGGTGTGATGGGTGTGTGTGCATGAGCAAGGCTGAGCTGCGTCGCGCTCGCATTACCGTAGCTGACGTGTTGTGCCGGGCTGCGGGCTGGTGACTTCATTGCGTGACTGTGTTCAGCGACAGATGAGCGAGATAGGGGGCCCCTGAGCGTTGCATACACACACGCACACACGTGTGTGTGTACACGTGTGTGTACACGTGTGTGTATGTACACACGTGTGTGTGTACACGTGTGTGAGTGTGTGCACGTGTGTGTGTGTACACGTGTGTGTGCACGTATGTGTGTACACGTGTGTGTGTGTGTAAACGTGTGTGTACACGTGTGTACTCGTGTGTGTATGTACACGTGTACACACACGTGTGTGTGTGTGCGTGTACACGTGTGTGGCGGTAGTGCAGTGGGGAGCGGTGGCGCAGTGGTTAGCGCGCTGCGCTACGGACCGCAGGCAACCTGAGCGACGTCACCGCCAATGAATGGCGAACGAGGGCCGATGTTTAAACGCACGCTCTTCGCAAGGATTGCAAGTCTTCGCTTGAGAGAGTGGCGATGCATCTGACGGCAGCTGTCAATCTGGTGCGCTCGTTGCAGAAGTCACGTGTGCTGGGGGGGGGGGGTCTGCAGGTGATGGCACAAGTCAACCGGCCAATGCAGAAAATAGAAAGCAGTCGAGAACCTGATCTGCGGTATTGCGGTATTGCTTGGAGGGTTGCCATTGTACAGACACACGTGCACAGAGAGGATACAGACGACGCAGAGTCAGTATTTCCGTGCGTGCGTGTCGTGCCAATTCTCGGCCACAGCTAACGTCGGTTGCCAATAATATCCGAACCTGTCCCGGGCCACCCCCACGTATAGCAGCAGCACGAAGCTCAAACCCCCCAAGAGAAGCAGTTGTTGCGGCGTGTGAACAAACGCGATTGGGAGACAAAGGCGACGGGGCACGGTGCTTGCGGAACGCACCAACCTGTTCGTGTGCCGTGCCAGCAGCCTTCATAGGTGGAGCGCCGCGGTAGCTTAAGAGATGTTGACTACCTCGCCTGGTATACAGGAGGTTCGTGGGCTCGATCCCTACCCTGACGCCTGCTGCTGTGTATTTGGAGTTTGCGTGTCTCCCTCTCT